ACTAATCAATAATACATATTAATTAGTAAAATTATATTGAATTAATAATATTACTATAAGTTTCAGGTTTTGTGTCACTTCAGAGCTTCAGGATTGGCAGATATCATATGACTTCAGATACATATATGTGTTTTAATCTAATTATTAATATTTTTTAGCTGAAAGTTTAAATCCTTTATTATTGAGAAATTATTGTTGACAATATTTTTTTAGTCATTAATAAAAGATGTTTCTCTCATTAAAATACTCATAGTTTTTTAAGATTATTTGAAAGACTGTCATTTTATTTTTCGAAAAAAATCAGAATTTTTTTTGTTGAACATCTATAAATTTGTTATAAATAAGCATTTTTTTTGTATACTAATAAGATTTTGTAGGTGCAAATTAATTTGATATAGAAGATTAGAGATTGTGGATAGGAACTTACTTATTAAAATCAATACTATATTTGTTATAATTAACATATTATTTGATAATTGATAAAATAATCTATTTTAAAAACAAATATTTTAAATGAATTATTATAATAACCTATATATATGTTTTTTTGTTTGGCTTAGAGCTTCTATAGAAAATATATAAATCTGAATATTGTTAGTAGTAATAATAATAAATATATATATATTAAATAAATAAGTAATATTCAAAGATTATAAAATCTTTTTTTTTGAATTCATTTCAAGTATTGAATTCTACAAGTATTAAGGTTTTCAAGTTTTAGATAAAAATTGTAATATTGCAAATAAATGAATTGATATTAAATATATAATTTAGTTTTGAATTAATTAAATTATCAATAATATTATAATAATTCTTTAAAGAAAGATAATAAAGATTAAAATATAAGTGAGCTATTGCAAATATAATTTTAATTCATTAATTATACTTTTACTGTTTTATATATAAAATTATTAGTAATATTATTATAAAAATAAATATCAAGATTATATAATTTTTGACAAGATTGAGTAATTTTATATATAAAGTGATTAGTAATATCTTGATTATTATAGATATTAAGATTCTAGGTTAGTATATGGTTAAGAAATTTAGATCAATTATATTTGGATATATTATTTAAGAGTTTTGAATAATCTATAATTTTAATATTTCATTAGAGAACAATTTTTCTATAAACTCAAAGTGTATAATTTTATAATTATATGTAATAATTACTTAAAAAAATATAATATAAATTGTATTATAATAATATTTAAATTTGATTGAAAAAATATAATATTTTAAATATATTTATTGCAATACAGCAGCCTAGATCTATTAATTATAATTAATAAATGACAAACTATAATTAATTATATAAAAGATCTTAATTGTATATTATTATTTTACTAGAAGAGCTTTAATCAATAAAATCAATATTTTTTTAAATAATAATATATCAATAATCAAATAAAAATATATAAATAAAAATTTCTAAAAAATAATATTACTGGTTTTTTATGACTACTCAAATTTAATCTTATTGAAATTTTAACTAAGTCAGAATATATATTTATAAACTAATATTATTACTTACCAATGGAATAAATTATTTAATTTTTATAAGAATAGTATAAAATAATGATTCTATTTCTTAAAATCTTATAATTAATATATCTAATTTATATTAAAACAGTTAAAAAATTTAAAGATAATTAGAAATAATAATAATAAATTTTAATTTTTTATTATTATAAAACTTGATTTATAATTAACAACTTTTGTTAAAGAAGTATAATATATATTTACATAATACAGATTATAGAGTAATTATTAAATTTAATAAAAATCAATAACTAATTAAATATTTTTTTTGTTAAATTTTAAAAAATTATAATATATATATATATTTATTTATTTAATAAATAAGCTTATAAAGTTTATTTATATATTTAATATTTTGTAAAATTATTTTTAGAATTTTTAACAGTTTTAATTCAATAAGATATATTTATTATAAAATTTTGATAAATCAAAATATTTATTTTTAATTACTTTTTTTGCAAAAATTTAAATAATTCTGCTTTATTTATTGATAAAGAATTATAATTATGAACATGATATTCTAACCTATTTCAAAGATATTTAATTGGATTGAGATTAGAACTTTGTACTGATCATAAAAAACAAAAAATATTTTTTATATATTTATCTATGAATTAAACAATTATCACTTTAAAATAAATAACAATTTTGATTATTAATACTTTCTAAATATAATAATAAATTACTATTAAGAATATTTAATAATTAATTGCTTATAAATTTAAACTATTTGTAATAAAACATTTTTATACTATTATTTTTTTTATTAAATTTAAATATTAAAATTAAGCAATTATTATATTATTTTTTTTAAGTAATTGCCATATATAATTATGATTATCACCTTAAAATAAGATTTATTTCTTCAAATAATATACTGTAATTCCATTATAAAGCCTATTACAAATATTATTTTGTTTATTTAAAACAATTTATTTTATTTTTGTTATTAATAAATGGGTTTCTTTTATCAATCTGAGTATAATAATCTTTTATATAAAGATAGTATTATAAAGTATATATTGAAACTTTAATAGATATAAATTATATAAATTTATCTTATATTATATTCAATATAACCTAATGATTTTTAGTAAAGTATATAATAATGACTGTTATACTTGAATTTTACTCAAGATCTTCACTATTTCTTATCCGATTTTCACTAATATTTATTCTTAAAATATTGCTTATTTTAAAATAATCATTGTATTACTACTTTTGTTATTATTTAGTATTGTACTTTTTGTACTATTGTTACTCTAAAATATTTTTTATTTTATTTATTTATCATTATTTTTTTGTCTTTATCAGAGGATTTGTTTTTATATTAATATACTGTATATGGGAAATTGTTTTGATGAATATAATCTTTCTTTAATATTTCTATTATTTCATATAACTTATATTTAACATATATGAAAATACCATAACTTAAATATGTATATAAAACCTTCAATTTTATCTAGAAATTAACAGAGTTGAAACTTTCATTTTATTAAATAAATAAATTGACCTTTACAAAAAACAAATCATTATTGCCTCTTTTGCTTGATCTCATTTCACAACTGTATTAATTTTGATATACCTTAGAAACTTTAACATACCATATTGATCCTTCCAACCAAATTTTTTCTTACTACTAGTTCTCCATTTTTATTTTTCTCTTGAGATAAAATAATATATAACAATGCTATATATTGTAATCATTCAATGAATGACTTTTCTTTTGAAATGGTAGTTTTATTTTATCCAAATCTTTATATTTTGTTACTCTTTAACTGTTGTGGATGCAAATTTAATGATTTCTACAATAGTAAAAACATTTAATTCACATCTTTAGGCACCAACTATTTGACTTTGCTCACTTTCAGATAGCTTTTTCTGTTTTGACTCCATTGCAAAGAAATTACAAATGCAACAAAAAAAATTGTTATTTTTTAAAAACCATGAATTATGAAGATCCCAAAATTGTAAATTTTATGTGCCTTGTTATTTAATTATTACACTAAATTAGTTTTTCACATTTTCTTTTTTTTGATCAATTTTGATTAGTTATTATAAGTAAACATATTTTGATTTTTTGTAAGAAAAATTTTTGAATAGATTATTTTTAAAATTTTGTGATACATTAAGATAATAAAAGTATTATGGAAGAATACAAATAACTTTTCATATTATTTGTAAAGTCAAATATAGAAATAAAATACAGAATATATTAATAATCTTTCCAATTATTAAAAAACACAAAAATATAGCTAACTAAAGAATTTAAAAAATAAACAAAAGTAATGATAGAAAAAACTTAAAGAAAAGTTTAAAAGAAAGTAGTTGTAATAGGTCTTTTCTTATTCAATTCAAAAAGTAAACAAGATTTCTCAACTTGCTAATTCTTAGTTATAGGTTCCATTTTGATACACTAGTCTATTTTTTTGTTATAGGTTCCATTTTGATACACTAGCCTATTTCTTTAGTGTACTTGGGATTTTTATAATGAAGATAAAAGTAGTGTAAAAGGATTTTTGATAATAAAAAGTGAAAAACAAAAGCTTTTTGATTTAAAAAAAATAATTATGAAAAAGGAAATTTTCAAGAAAAAAGTAACGTGTAGAAAAGAGTATTTTATATAAATATATTGATTGATACTAAATTTCTTAGTATAGACTTATTTGTATTATAATATTACTATAAGAACATATAATGTATCATGAGTTACGTATGTCTTGTGTGATAATTCTGAATTATTAAGATTATTCTGTATTATATGAATGAGATTGATCTGGAATATAGCATGTTATTTAATAATAACTAGAATTAAAAAGTAATAACAGGAGTATACTAAGAAGCAGGGGTAATTTCTCTGCAGTTGGAATGGCTTTAATTTCGCAGTGTAATCTAACTATTTAAACAATAGACTATTTATTGTGCATCACAAATAGTACAAACAATGTCAAATATTGTAATTAAAAAAACCATCAAAAAAATTATAGTATTGTATTTCATTTTTTAATACTCAAAATATAAATATATCAAATTCTGAGCAACTCTGGGTTGATTAAATATTCGATAAAATTCATTTAAACTTGCATTACTAACAGTATTTCCGAACCACTTGTTAACACTTGTTACTTTTGAATTCTTCATGTCTTTTACTATTTGACTAACCTTTAATTTCGTAAAAAATTATATAATTTCTTTTTATCGTCATTTGCTTATTCGTATTATTCTAACACTATTTGACTTGACCTTTAAATTTGTGAATTTAGAATCTGAAAATACATTGAAAAATAATTAGTGTGACCATAAACTTATAAAATTAATAATGATAAAAATTAATTACAGTACAGTACCATGATTAGGTTTTGTTGAGCTTATCGTATTTGGAAGATTTTGAAAGTCAAGAAGTCGACTAGTATATATTGCAGATTTATTTGTCCCATGCGTTGCATTAATAGTTAAATAATCTTTAATGTTTTCATTTTCCTTAATTTGTCTTGCAAGTTTGGAATTTGGCCAAATCCAATAACAGCTCCATCCTAGTAAAATACTGCTCAATTAATATGAACTTAATCGATTCTGTGATTCAGCATCCCAGCATTTCTCTATTAACTCAGTTACTAACCCGGGAATATTTCTATGTATTTCCGGCCGGAGACCATTACAAATTCTTATTGCGAGGTAATTGTCATACGGTACGTTAATGAAAGGAGGAACGCCAGACAAGATTTCGTTCATGATAATACCAAAAGCATAAATGTCCGATGACTCCGTATATTCTCCCCCACATAAAACTTCAGGTGCCACGTATGGAAGTACACCATAGACTTTTTTCTTCTCAGTTATGTTGCCATCATATTGTTCGATCGGTTTGCATTGACCTAAGTCTGTTACATAAAGCTGGTTTCCTTCAGATAAAAGAATATTTCCAGTATGAAGATCTCGATGAACAAGTTTGGCCTCATGGATTTGGTGCAATCCTTTTGCAATTCGAAATAAACTCCTGAGTTTATTAGCCCAAGACATTTCGCAGAATTTAGAAAGATTATTCCTAACGTTTCCAAAAGAAACGAACTTCATGACTATCATCAAATTATTTGTCTCGTCGTGCCGAGTAATTCCATAACACCGTGTAATGTGAGATTTATTGCCACTAAAATTATGAAAATTTCTAATCTTATTAAATTTATGTTTAATAGACAAACAATTGTTATTAAATTAGAGGATACGTTAAAGAAGCATGTCGTAACTTTTTTTATTTAATATAATTTACCTCATCTAAGAATTCATTGGATATATTTTGTGAATTATTCAAACATTTTAGTGCGACCTTCATGGGTTTCTTCTTTTCCATTGATTATTTTTAGCATTCCAATAAAGGATATTTCCTTCGGTCCATTCAGCCGAGTATACATCTGCAAAGCCACCTCTATCAATAAATGTCACATCCTTAAATTTTGAATACGGAATCCATTCGAGTATTTTATAATTATCCATAGCTCTTAATTGAGTCTCCTTTACGAATGCATCAATGTTACTATTTCCACTTCCCCAACTATCAAATTCTTGTTGAAATCGCGAAGAATTACACGGTTGGCACCAAAAAGAAGTTGTTGTTTTTTTCTTGCACTGATTACATATTTCTCCTATAATAAATCATATTTCATGAATTTTCACAACAATAGAGCGAATACGATGTGTATTATTTACCATCTACAGTGACGAAAATTATTATTATTATAACATTGTTTGTAAATTTTCAAAAAAAAAAATGAATGTAACTTACACGCTGTAAAGTCAATTATTAATGTTATAATAAATATACACTTATAATAAATACAGTATCAATGTTCAAAATTCAACTTACTGTCTATAATATTTAGGTAGTTTAATTAAATATTATGCGTATAAAATTTTAAATAATGAAGTGTAATTAAAACAACTTACCCCCTATAAAATTTTACGTTATTAATGCAAGTATTTATTACGGTTATTCGAAACGAAGAAAGAGAATATTTTGTATCACTTACATTCTATAATATTATAAGAAAAATACGATTAAATTTTTTTCGAGTGAACTTTGCCTAGCATTCTTACCGTCTATAATGAAAAATGTTTAAATAAATAAGTTATTTCATTTTCAAGGTACTGTATTCTTAAAACACAAAATAGAAAAAACTTTTATTATTTAACTTACTATCTAAATATCAAATAATTAAAACATTACAATATAAACTTCCAAACAGATAATAGAATATGCTTCATCGTCTTACCTGCTACGAGATGGTTATATATTTATTATAACCAGTAAAGTTATTAGACCACTTTTAAATATATACGATACAATGAATATATTGTAAATTCAACTTACTTTCTACAAAATTTACTGATTGCAATGACGCAATAAAATCACTTTGTTAAGGCGGTCGAAAATCAACAAATACTTATTGAGATCCACTTACTATTCACTAAATATGAATACCGTAAATAATTAACATTAACGTGTTGCTCGAATATTATAATTTATGGTGAATTTAGCCTACCTTCTGCATCGAAAAAACATATGTACGTACTGTATATAGTTAATCCATAGGTTTATGAACGCAAAAAATAATTAGGGTCTTACCCTCTGCAAAATTAATAATTATTAACACAATCAAACACTTCGTGTAAAAAAAAACAACAAACTTATGTGGGATTTTACTTACTATCTAAAATATCGCGAACAAAAATAAAAGTTAAACTTGAAATCAAGTAACGAGAGATTACTGAATTTGACTTACATGCAACTGTATAGAGCAAGAAATCATTTGCGGTTTAATTTTTTTTTTTTTTTTGGTATAATTATTAGACAATAAAAATATAAGGAATTTAAATTACACGCTATAAAGTTAAAATTAACATAGTGAAGAGTCTTTCACATAAATTTACGGAGATAGATAACAAAATATTAAAAGTTTAACTTACAATCTATAATGTAAAGGGCTTAATCATTTTCATTTTTCGCATAAATTCATAAGTACGTACACCAATCTAAATGCGTTTAACTTACCGTCTAAAAGAATGTAAATATAATTGATTATTTTCACACAATTTACGAAAAAAAAGATATAGTTAAATTGTATTCAACTTACATACTAAAATCAATACCAATACGTAGTCAAATTTCTTTTATATAAATTTGCAAGATAAAGACGTATACAAATATGTATAACTTACCGTCTACAGTACAATATAAATAAGTAATTTTTATATCCGGGAAAAATGTACAACAGATATTGAAATGCAAACATGCTAATTTCAACTTATAATCTACAAAATCATTATGCAAATTACCTGACGCCCCTGAAATAATAATTATAATTAATATTAATTGATAATATGTGTATTAAATTTGGTTTATAAATCAACTTACATGCTGCAATATTAAAAACAAGAAAAGAATAAATTATATTTCACGTGTCTTGGCAAAAAAATAACGAAAATGTATTTGTTATACGTACTACTTATATCAGGGACTGAGTGATTACGTTGTAATTTAAATAAGTATGCTAGATTAACCCGCAATAAGATCGACGATTAATAAAGCACATAAGAATATTATTCATTTTGTATTTTTGCACCTACCTGCTACTGTTTTGTATAAAGTTGATGAATGTAGTTATGAAAACTTTATAATTAATCCACCATATGATTTTAAGGATAGATGAGACTTGAAATACCTCCTAAAGTATCGAATTGGATTTTTTGTGCATAATTTGATTAAGAAAGTCGTGAAAATCAAAATGGCAATGTTTTACGTATACAAATTAACTTACTCTCTATAATAGCTTAAAAAATTACTTCTCATAATTTACGCAACAAAAGTTTATACTGTATGTATGTCTATTTTAACTTACCGCCTACTAGCTTGTCAATTATAAACATCCATTATATTTATAAAAATTTTCAAAAAAAAAAATATGTTTAATTTTATTAGTACACCATTAACATTATTTATACAGTTATTAAATAAAAAATCGATAAAAATAGGGTTATTAACTTACTCCCTATAAATCAACAATAAATCCATTAGAGCCATCAAAATAGATAGCAATGCCATGCTATAATTTTTACTTACACGCTATAATATTGAATTATAAAAATAATGTAAAATAAGAATATTGCTTAATAAATAACATGACATATATTAAAAAGTAATTAACCCCTTTTTATTAAATTCGAGAAACTGTAAAATCACTTAAGATCATTAACTTACTTTCTAAAAATTACAATAATTAAAGTTAAAATTAACAACGAATTTGTTTTATTTAATTATTATCTAAAACATATTTACACAACTCACCATCTAAAAATTGTTAAATAAACCTTGAAATATATCATAAGTAATTTAAACAACAAAGAATACAAAAACTTTGGTAATCTAACCTAAAGTCGTGTCTCTCAAATCTATTGCTTCTTTTGATAACATTTGTAATAATTTCTTTAACTATTGCGACCCTTTAAATAGAAAAAAATAAACCGACATCCTATTTGATTTTTTATACCGTATTGGTGTGCCATAGTATGCATCAATTTTTTTAGTGTTTCATCTAATCAGTTTTAGTTCTAAACGCAATCTAATAATTTAAATTAAAACTAAGCTACCGTTATATTTACAAATAATTATAAATTTTGTTAGCAACTCCCTAGGCATTCTTGCGTCACCCTTAAGTGTCAACTGTGCAGCACTCGTGCAGTAGTGAAATTTCCGTAGTTGGGTGATCGGATTTTTGAGAACACACCCCCCCGGTGTCATTTATTTCGGAAAAAAATTTTGCTAGTTTTGTTATAAAGAGATATTAAACAGTTTTAAATTGCGGTTTGAACCAGAAAATTTACTATTTGGGGGTACAGAAAAATGCTTCCCGTGCGTCACTTGTGCAGGTGTGCTTTCGAGTGAAATTTCCGAATTATACATGCGTCACATGATCGAATCGATGATCGACACGCGGAACAAATGTTGGTATAATATAATTATTTACTTAAAATATTTTTAATTATTGAAATTTTCTATTTATAATGAATTTATAGAAATTCAATAAATTATTATAATTCTACAATCAAACTTTTTAACTTAATTTATATTAGAGTAACAATGGTTCCGCGAGATTTATTTAAGATTTCGCAAAATTCGGTACGTGTCGATCATTATAGTCGATCACGTGACACAATTAAGCTGAACATAATTCGGAAATTTCATCCGAAAGCACTCGCTGCACGAGTGACGCACAGTGAGCATTTTTATGCATCCCAAAATAGTAGCTTAAACTCCACTATTTGAACCTAACTTATGATTTAATTGGTTCCAATCACAAGATAATATATAAATATGATAATAAATTTATTGATCTTGCAATGTGTCATACTGCATTACAGTATATAAAATCATTTCCGTAACAACATTAATTATGACTTAATAAATAGTTTGATTTAATTAGCTAGCAGAAAAATGTGTTGCATTCTATATTATATATACAAATACTGTTTTAAAACATGGGAGATATTGCTAGTGTAGCAGTTGTACAGTATACATATAGTTACATTTACATTATTTATATTATGTTTTAAATAATTATTTATTGAATCTGTTTTATATTGTATTGTTATTTGGCTTCAATTTTGCTGTTATTTTTCTATATATTATTTTGATAATATATATATATATTTATTATAATATAAGTATCTAAAGAAATGTGTTTTGTTTTTAGTACTAGTATATATAAAGAATAACTTGATTTTATAGATATATGTCTTTTACTATGTAAATTCTTTATTTTTGGAAATTCTTAGTTTAATATTTTATTAGCAAAGATTCTAAGTTTATAATTCTATATATTGGCTATCCTATTTATTATTTTTATAAAATATAGATTTGATATAGAGTTTTATAACTAATCCAGTTTTGGATTTTTTTTAAAAAAACAGAATTTATTCTTGTGTTTATTTTTGTATTGATTGGTAATTTAATTATTTTATAATTATATAATTATATATTACAATTATATATTTATATATTAATACCTTTTTATAAAAAAAAATATAATATACATAAGAAAAATTAAAATAAAGTTATATATCTTTTTAATTTATATGAAATTGATTAATAATAGTTATTTTTTTGACTAACTAAGCTCTACCCAGTATACTTTATTATTTTATAATATTTACATATATTGTTTATATTTTTGTTTACAATACTGTTATAATCTTATTTTTAAATATATATTAAATTATATTAAAACTTCTTCAAATATGACTTTAAACTATCTGGACTATATATGTGTTCATATTTAATTCAGACATTTTTCAAAA